TTGGCATTGAGCCGCTATACAACCTTTGTCCGTTTTAATTACAGCCCCCTCCAGTATGGTGATGCTTTTGCTTCTGCCATCCACCAATGGTATTGGAATGGGAACAGCCGCGATGGGATTGGGGATGGAGTCGTTGGTGACGACTTTGGTGTCCGAAACCAGGGAGTTCATCACCGGGCCTGGGCCAGGAGTCATAATGGTATCAGTCACTGAAGACACCTGCAATTTTAACATCTGCTGAAAAAAGCCCGCGCCCGTTCAAACAGCAAACTAACAGTGCTACAAACTTCGGCTAACGCTTGCAGCTGATTGGGGCAAACTACCGGCTGAGATGCGCCACTTGCCGTCAAAGTCGTGGTCCCAGTCGTCAGGCTCATGCACGTGTTGATCGATGGAATAATTGGCACAGGAACGACTGAAATAGAGTTGCGGTTTCAAGATCAATACGTCTGAGCGTCGCCAGCTTCTTCAGTACTTGCTACTGCAGGCTGGGGCTTTGCTATTGGGCCCCAAGCAGCCTTGTATTTGGAAAATTCCGGCAACCAGTCCTTGATTGCGTTGCGCAAAGCCTGCTTGGGATGATATATGTTAGGAGACAGCGTGACTGGGACATCTTCGCCAGATAGACCGTCTTCTGTTTCAGTTTCCAGCTTTATATCTGCCGATATCGAGTCATCTAGAACGGGGAATCGGAATGTAATCACCGCAAAGCTTGCTAAAAGGACGTACTTATGGAAAAGTCGCGTTGAGCATCCAAATTGCACCTGGACCACTGGGCTAAGGTGTGTATAGCTATGTAATTCGCCCCATATTCGCAGTTTGGGTTCGTGACCACTCCCCGTAACTTGGGGATAAGATCCGGCGATCTTCCAGAGTATGGCCCCAAAAACACTCGCTTCTGGTCGTAATCATTTGCGTGCAAATTGTCCCAGATTACAGGCGGCCGCCTCAAAACGTCCGTAATTTCCTGAATATTCTCGTTGGCCAAGTGTCTTGAAATCACTTTGTTTCCTGAAAAGTACCCATTGAAAAGCGCGCATTCACATAAGTAATACTCCTATCTACCAGTCCACATTATGTCAATATCCTGAGCCAATTTCGACCCTAAAGTGTTCAAATATTCGGAATTTGCCACATTTGGGACCGCCCTAGTCGAGCAATATTGCGTAGGGCAAAGCAGGAACTTTGGCTGGCCTAAGTGCTGGTAAATGTCGTTGGTAATCGAGACTTGAGCTTGGGCAAAGGTCTGGAATATCTCCTTATCAGCCTCAGACATTTCGGGTTCGATATCGTCAAAGAGCAAGGCAAAGGCTGTACATCCAAACTCAGCGACTTGCTCCAGTTTGCGCTTCAACGTGGTTGTTTCCTTTTGATTGGAGTATGTTATATCCAGTCCAGGTGATAGAGCGTAGTAGAACGTGATGTTTTGGTCTTTGGCCGCTTGTATCAGTCCAGTCAAATGTTCAGCTTCCTCTACAGTGTACAATTCCCTCCAGTAGGCTCTGTGTTTGTAGTCATCTTTCGGGGCGTACACGTAAGAATCCATTCCCCATTTCTTCATTCTAAAGTGGAAAAAAAGTGTTTTAGGTGCTGTTTTTTTTTGCAAACTGCGGCGCTCACTTCTGAAATAAGTCTTTGCGTTGCTCTGTTGTCCATGGTCGACCATAGAAGCCTGCAATGTAGGTTCTGATGAGTATTTGAGGCTTGTTTATAGTTGGTTTTAATGAATTTGGTAAAATTCCATTTCGTTTACTGACCTTCCACCACTCCACAGATGAAGTTGCCATTCCTGGCATCCAAACTAGCCGCTGCCACTTTGCTCCCTGTTTCTTCAGCCATGTCGCTTTATGTATAAGTTTTACATACAATTTTAGCTTCAAATTTTTTTGTTTATCAAACAATAAGCCTCTAGTAGGAATCAAATATTAAACTTCAAGCTTCAAGCTGTTTAAGACAGGAATTGTCAATTGGGAGAAAACGCGGGGGGCGGCCTCTACATCCCGGACGGGGACGCAAGTATAGATACCGTTTTGCGGTGGCGCATTCACCATAATGTCCATAAAACCAGAATTTACTAGTGGTTGATTGCAGTTGGTACTGGGCTTAACCAATCGCTTTCAAACTCCTCCTATTGTCTCACATAACATTGAAAAGGGTCTGCATGAAATGCGTGTTTTGCTTTAAATTTACGCCCACTGGATAAACAAATGCTGATATTCGTCGAAATTGATTTATGTATGTGTGATGGAAAAGTACTGCTATCTATGAAATTAGAAAAATGATCGTCGTTTTGTGCAAGGGTGGCGCAAG